CAACCGCTTTCTATCTAAATCAGCGGAGAAGTCTCTACCCTTCTTCCAGATCATGAGGAAGACGGTTGGCTTTCTATGGACTCCAGAATGCCAGGGGGCTTTTGACGAACTCAAACGGTATCTATCTTCACCCCCCTGTGCTCTCAAAGCCAAAGGTAGGGGAGACCCTCTATCTCTACCTTGGGGTCAGCCCGGCGGCCATCAGCTCCGTGCTCATCCGGGAGGAAGACGGCATCCAACATGCCATCTTCTATGTAAGCAAGACCCTAAGGGAGGCCGAGCTCAGGTACTCTCCTGTGGAGAAAACGGTGTTAGCCATCGTTTGGACCGTCAAGAAGTTGGGCCATTACTTTCAGGCTCACCCGGTTCAGGTCCTCACTCATCAACCCCTCGGCGCCCTAATGAGGAGCCCCACCAGCTCCTCTCGCATGGTGAAATGGGCTATCTTCTTGAGCCAGTACAACATTGACATCCGTCCGAGGCCTGCCATCAAGGGCCAAGCCCTGGCGGACTTTGTGACGGAGTGTACGGGGAGCCCTCGGCTACCTCGGACGACTGGTGGACCCTCTACACCGATGGCTCCTCCGCGACCAAAGCATGCGGGGGAGGGGGGTGGTCCTCATTACTCCCGAGGGCTTCAGAGCCTACTATGCAATCCGCTTCTCTTTCAAAGTCTCCAACAACGAGGCCGAGTATGAGGCCCTCCTATGTGGCCTTCGGCTGGCTGCCAACATGAAGGCTCGGCAGATCCACATCAAATGCGACTCCAAGTTGGTCGTTGGCCAAATCTCCGAGGAATATGAGGCCAAGGAGGGAAGAATGAAACAGTACAGAGAGGCGGCCAAGGAGTTGCTTAAGGTATTTGAGGCACACTCTCTCACACAGATACCGAGGGCTCAGAACTCCGAGGCCGACATACTATCTAAGCTCTCGGCCGACTCCCCCGAGCACATCTCCAAGATTGCCAAAATTGAGGAACTCAGTCTCTCAAGTATCCACGCAAGCCCCGTTATGAACATACAACAACGCCAAGAGGACTGGATCTCGGATATCATCACCTTCATCTCCACAGGGCAACTACCCGAGAACGAGACCCACGCCAAACTAGCAAAATTGAGGGCTCCTAGCTATACCATCGAAGACGGAAGGCTCTACAAACGGTCCTACAATGGCACGCTACTTCGGTGCCTTCATCAAGATGAAGCCGAGGTCGCAATGGAGGAAGTGCACAGTGGCACTTGCTCGGCTCACCAGGGACCCTTCTCCATGTCCCGAAGGCTCATTCTCCAGGGCTACTTCTGGCCAACCATGGCCAGAGATTGTGCTGACCTTGCCCGAAGATGCACCGCATGCCAACATTTCTAGAAAGCCCCCAGCAGGCCAGCGGTCAACAATGCCCCCATCAGCACATCCATCCCCTTTTCTCGGTGGGGGATAGACCTTGTGGGCCCTCTGCCGAGGGGTACCTCCAACAACAGGTACATCATTGTGGCCATCGACTACTTTACCAAGTGGGTGGAGGCTGAGCCCCTCGCCAACATCACAGAGGCGAAATGCCGTCACTTCGTCCTCAAGAACATCCTCACAAGGTTTGGCGTCCCCCAGCAGATCATCTCCGACAATGGGACACAATTTGAGGCAGCCCCCTTCTGTGCCCTTCTGGAGGCATGGGGCATCAAACACACCTTCTCCTCCGTTGCCTACCCTCAAGGCAACGGGCAAGTAGAGAACGCCAATCGGACCTTGCTCGAGGGCCTCAAAAAGAAGCTGGAGGCCGAGGGCGGTGGCTGGGTAGAAGAACTCCACAACATCCTTTGGGCCTACCGCACCACCCCTCGGCGAGCAACAGGTGAAACACCCTTCTCCCTCTGCTACGGTTTTGAAGCCAAAGCTCCTACGGAAGTCACCCTACCCACCCGGAGGGTGATCCAATATGACCCCGAGGTCAACGACAGCAACATGGCCCTCGATCTCCACCTCCTTTCAGAACGCCGGGAGCAAGCCTTCATCCGGGCAGAGAACTACCGAAGGCAAGTCAAAGGCTACATCGACGCCAAGGTTCGCACCCGAGAATTTCAAGTAGGGGACTATGTCCTCCGGAGGAGGGAGGCCAGCCAACCAACCGAGGGAGGAAAAATGGCACCAAAATTCGAAGGCCCCTACATCGTAGCAGCCATCATCAAACCCGGGACTTACAAGCTCAAACGCCCCAACGAGAAAGAGATCCCTAGGCACTGGAATGTACACCACTTAGTTAAATTTTATCAATAATGTAAGAGCGGCCAAGCCCTTATAACTAGTGAATGTACTATCCTATGGCCCAAGGCCTCCAATTTTGAAGAATGAAGACACATTCAAGACATCAAGAACAAAACACTTATGAGCGGCCAAGTCCTCATACTGACTACAGGCCCCAGGCCTCACCACGAGGAGAACCCCCTCAGGCACCAAGTGCCGAGGGCGGACACCATCAACACCTACGACAACAGTGAAAACACCATGTGTTTTCAGTCAAGACCCATCGGTACCAAGTACCGAGGGAGGGAACTCCCATCACCGACGACAAGAAACACCAAGTGTTTCATTCCCCTTCGGCACCCAGTGCCGAGGGTACACCTCCACCATCAACGTCAAAAAACGAAGAAAACGCCAAATGTTTCAAAGAAGACCCCTCGGCACCCAGTGCCAGGGATACGCCCTCCTGTCAACTTTCAAACACCTGTTGGAAAACGCCAAGCGTTTCCTTCGAAGGCCCTCCGGCACCCAGTGTTCCTACAGAAGACCCTTCGGCACCCAGTGTCGGGGGTACACATCTCCACCTTCAAACATCATAAAGAAGAACACCAAGTGTTCCTACAGAGGACCCCTCGGTACCAAGTACCGGGGGTACACAACTCACCCATCAACGTCAAATAGAAGAAGAACACTAGGTGTTCCTACAGAAGACCCCTCGGTACCAAGTACCGGGGGCTACATATCGAAACTAACACCAAGTGTTGTTTCTAAAAGCCGTACCCCACGAGGACGCATATACCGAAGGCGCCACCATCGGTGCCGGCGGCACGTAGTGCCCTCGGCCATTTGCAACTAGTGTGCAAATGAAAACCCTTCCTTGAAACGCTTTCCGCGTCACTACCCCCAGGGTATGACAGGCATGAGAAATGCCCAGGATCCGACTTTCAAAAACGGAACGCTTTCCGCGTCATCACCCCAAGGGTATGACAGGCACGAGAAATGCCCAGGATTCGACTTCCAAACCGAAACGCTCCCCGCGCCACCACCCCAAGGGTGTGGCAGGCCACGGACTATGTCTAGCGCCGAGGGGACGACTTTCAAAAATAAGGCGCTTTCCGCGCCATCCCCCAAGGGGAGGCAGGTTACAGACCATCATATCTTGTACCCAGGAAACGACCCTCGATCCCCTCGGAACTCGGAAGGTTAACCCGAGGGAGGAGAGCCATTGGTGTATTCTGATGGTCTCCTGATAGGCCCAGCCTTACCAAGAAACCAAGTTTCTTGATGCCTTCCCTTCACCACCAACCAAAAAAAAAGAGAGGGGGTGAAGGGGAGTAGACTCAGCGAGAAATCAAAGAGTACACTCCAACAGATCACAACATGCCGAGGGCTCCCCACGGGAACACCTCCGGTAATTGAAGGCTCCTATTTCCTGAAGGATACTACTCAAACAAATATCATCAAGAAACGGCTAAGTCCACTGCTTGGTCACCTCCGATCACACAAGCACCGAAGGCCTCAACAATACAAAGGGACTGGACTATCCAAAGTCCACTAAACGGTACTTCAAACAAATATCGAGGGCATCTGTTATGCACTAATACCGAGGGCACCCTACCCCATGACAAGGGACACAACTGGCTAAGTCAAACTCTACAACTTTTCAAGTATATGCCGAGGGCACATGACTCCTCATCGGTTTTCTTTACAACAACAGGATTCCACACTTTTCCTAAGTCCACACTTTTGGAAAATGACAACAACCGGAGGCTAATATATCATCCGACAACCGAAGGCATCTATTACAAATCATCAAAGGCCAACCGAGGGGGCTTATTTCAAAATATCTGCCCCTCGAGCAGACTCCTCACTGACCGAAGGTTCAACATCTACAGCACACTTTGAGATTTTCCTAAGTCCCACATATTTGGCCCTCGGTCAAATACTCATACAACACAAGGGCCTCACGATCACCCGAAGGGTCCTATTCATATACCCGGAGGGATCTACATCCGGAAGCTCAACATCAATTTACGCTTAGAAAATATTCTAAGTCCTAAATGAGTAGCCCCCGGGCATCTCGCAAAAGTGATGCAGAGTCAGAGGGCACCTATCACCCGAAGGCGACATAAGGAAGCAGCACTTGGAAAAAATTCTAAATCCTAAAGATTGGGCCCCCGACCCAATCAATATTACAGCTAAGGGAATATGACAGCCGAAGGCTATGCGATACAACAACACTTAGAAAATTTTCTAAGTCCTACATATTTTCCCCCCGGTAAACTACTCATACATCAAGAAGGGATGCCATCTCCCGAAGGCTCCCAAGGGAAAATCTACACTTAGAAATCTTTCTAAGTCCTACATATTTCACCCTCATCTCAAGGGACCTAATAGCCGAAGGCTACCTATCAATCAAAGGCTACAGTACACAAGGAATCAACACTTAGAAAAATTTTCTAAGTCCTAACTATAGCTGAGCCCTCAGTTGTATATCCAGCAAAGGGTGCCCAACTACCGAAGGCTACACCTGTATTCAAACACTTAGGAAAATTTTCTAAGTCCTAATTATTGCTGAGCCCTCGGGTGCCCAACTACCGAAGGCTACAACCGTGTTCAAACACTTGGAAAATATTCTAAGTCCTAAACATACATTCAAAAAGGGCGAAGGCATACACTCAAGAAAAAATGACGGCATACATTCAAGGAGGAATGAATTAAAGCAAACAAGTCATGTATATATACAATGCCCGAAGGCTAACACTCATCCATCAATCATCACAAAAAGGAGTAAATGTAACTGTTACAAACAGGCCGAAGCCGAAGGATCAATGGTGTTCATTACAACAGAAGTTTCAAATATTTACTAAGTACAGGTTACGAATCAACAACGGCATTCCCGGAGGCGTCCTCTACTGCAGGCTTGGACGCGGCATCATCCCCAATTTCCTCCTCTTCGTCACTGCCCTCGGCCATCAACATGGAGTCTTCCAAATCAGGCCTCACAACACCTTCAGGGAGGGGAACCCTGGGGTCTGGCTGAAGGGGAGGGAGACCATAGGATGCCGGATCAAAGGCCTTCGGGTCCACCTCAAAATGCCGGGACAGCCTTCGATATACAAGGGCCTGAGTAAAGTACTCACCCCTGTCATAATACTCTTTCCCCTTTCGGGCCAACCACATTGCGCCTGGGCCTTTCACCCATTCGTTCACCGAAGCTTCCACCACCGAAGCCACCCATTCCTGCCGGCCTTCGGCTTTCCATCCCTCCTCAGCAAAAGCGGCAACAGCATCCTCCCGGGCTTCGGCGACAGCTTTGATCCGGGCCTCCTCGGCATCCTTCGCGGCTTTCTTGGCAGCATCGGCCGCAGCCTTCTCCGCCTCTGCTTTGCCTTCGGCTCTGGCCACCATCTTGGAGCCCTCGAGGATTTCTTTGAAAGCCTCTTGCTCAGCTTTGCGAGCGTCCTCGGCCTCTTTGAGCTGCCTTCGGGCCTCAGCCAGTGCTTCAGCGGCTTTCTTCTTCTCCGAGTCATACTGCTCTATCCTCTGGACCAGCTCGCCAAGGCCAAGGCTTGCCTGAAAGCAGACATGAATTACCGGAGGTTAAGCCACTACACACGTAAAGAATGAAGTTACCTACAAAAGAGAGGGAAGGAACCTTACCGTAACCGAGGCCATCAGAACCTTAGAGCAGAGGACATCGTCGGCTTGACGGGAGAGCACAGACTTATCGGTCGGAGGGGTGGCACCCCTCAAAAACTCCTTCGGGTTCAGGGTCCCGTGCATGATAGCAGTCCCCTTCGTGATGGAGAATTGGACCTTGTCCTGGGGCCATGTCAGATCAGTGGCTTGACCCGAAGGCTTGGGGAGAGAAGATTCATCTACGACCACAACGAGGGCTTCCTTCAACTCCGGGCCCCCCTTCTTCTTCTTCTTCCCCTCCGGTTGTGCCGGGTCCTTCCCAAGCCTTTTCCTCTTCGGCTCCAGACCGGGGGAGCCCCCGACGGCGGCCTCCGGGACGGGTCCCACCTCCTTGGCCTCTTCGGCCGCACCCGCTTTGGGGAAGATCTCGTCGACCGCCCTCTGCTATGCGGGGGCCTCCTTCTTCTGCTCTTCCCTGGCAAGTTGTCTCTTCAGCTTGACAAGGTTCCGGGCGTCCATATCTGGTCCTGAAACACAAGAAGGCACACAAGGGTTAGTTCACTACTACAACAAAGCAAAATTTTTTTTTTTTTCTAAGTATGAGAATTAAAGCCCTCGGCATTGAAACAACCTTCGGCACTCTCATATACGCGATCAATCATGGGGTAGCCTTCTTCCTTCTCCCCCATCAGCCGGTACCGACGGAAGCCGAGCTTGTACAACTCACTGGAGAGCGTTGCGCCTTTGATGGACACGTGCTTATCGGACCCCTCCGGCTTCTTGGACAACACCCGCCCATTTTTCTCGAGGGCATACCCTTCTGCCTTCAGGTGCCGCCGAAACCTGTCACCAAGCGGAGCGGAGAAAGGGTTCTCGGCCAAACGGATATAGCAGAACTTGTCTTTCCACCCCTTGTGAGACGAAGGCGCCTCATCAAAAATCCTGAACTTCGGGAGCTGCTGCAAGTTACCGTAGCCCCCGGCATTCGAATGACCCCCCCGACACAAATTGAACGACAGAAAGAATTGCTCCAGAGTAGGGGGGACCTTTCGGCTGAGGCACAGCGACAGGAACCCTGCCAGATATGAGTGACTGTTCGGGGTCAACTGGCAGGGGGCTAGCTTGACGAAGCGTAGGTATTCCAACATGAAGGGATGAAGAGGAAATCTGAGACCCAACTCCACTGAAAGCAGATGTACGGCAAAACAACCCTCGGGGGCACGAAGGAGCACATCATCCGGCTTCGGCTCTACCACCTGCGCTGAAGGCCCAACCAAAAATTGTACCGCCATCATCTACCCTCGGGTAGCTTTATTCTTGACCTCCAAGGCGGCCGTGTTCAGGAAAGAATAGCCCTCGGGCAGTCCCACTGGCTGGCCAGCGTCGACGGTAGCTTGCTTCTTCTTCGGAGCCGTCCTCACCTTCTTTCTCTTCTTCCCCGGGGCCACACTGAGGGGTATGGCGTCTAAAGGCCGGGAGCTCCCGGCTTCGGTATCATACTGAGGGGGAGGGATAGCTACAGTCACCTTCAGGCCCTCCTTCTGGGCCTCGTCCTCGGCCACCTGACAGGCGATGGCAAGCTCTTCATCCGCGTTCACCTGCTCGAAGTCTTCGGCCTCGAGCTCAAGCCGAAGGTCACCCTGTATCGCCTCGGCTACGGCCCTATCGTCGATGACCGAGAGCTGCTCGCTTGAGGATTCCACGTCAGTCACCACATCGACGTTCACTGAAGCCTCCCCGGAGATGTCTTGGGAATCGCTAGCTGACGACATTACTTCTAGAAAGGCGAGGGGTCGGGAAACTCGTACAAAGAAGGGTTCTTGAAGGGTCCTAAAGCCTAACCCTAAGGCCAAAATCTAAGTACTCAAATAGAGCTAAGGAACGAAGGAAGAACTGACCTCTGAAAGTTGCTGTGATCGAGGGTGATTTTCTCTCTCTAGAAAAATTCCGACAGAGCTTCGCTAAGACAGGTGATCGCGCAAGAAGAAATGACTCTGGCTCCGGAGTATTTATAGGCGATGGAATCCGGGCTTGGGCCCGGAAACCGGGCCTCCGGACGGACCGTCATCATTACGCGCCGTGTTTTCACCCAACCGGTGACGCCGCCCACGGCCAGCCAACCGTCACGCGCCACGTGTCCTCCTCCCCCAATGGCTATATCCCGACGATACATATTCCAACGGCTATATTTCCAACGGCTATATTCTGGAAGCCCCCGGGTTTTCTACTTCGCTCCACTCCATCAAGGAGAGCCTCCGGGTACACTTACCCAGAGACGCCCCCGGGTTGTGCCCCACACAGCACATAACAGACGCCTTCGGGATCACTCCTTCAGAAGCCCAAGGCTTCATGACAGGGCACCCCTCGGGGATTCCCCCTTAGCATTGTGAGGGCCGGGTAGCCCCCGGGGAGTATGCCTCCTTGACGGATAGCCCACAGCACACAGGTAATGGGAGCCCTCGGGTACCCTCATCACCAACTAACCAGCAAGCAGGGGACCCCCCGGCGACAATTCAATTACTGCCCTCATCCATCATGCCCTCGATCCCCAGATTGAGGGGCTCCCCTTCGGCACCCCCCAGGACATCAACAGCAAGCCTTCGACTAATCAACACATGAGCCCTCAGAAAAAGAGAGCCTTCGGCATTACCGTTATTCTCCATTTTTGACCAAGGTTTCACATTTTTGATTCATCATTGGGGGAATTCGGTGCACTCTTTTTCCCTCATTAGGATATTTTCCCACAGGGTTTTTCCTAATGAGGTTTTTAACGAGGCATCCCCCCAAAATGAAACGAAAAGCGTCAGCCTTCGGCCCACAACAACAACGCAACTACTCTACTCCTTTTCACCACTTTACAAGTGCCTCAAGGAGTAGGGGGACTGGAGAACCCCCTCGGGAAAATCATTAAATTACAAAATTGGTGAAAAATTCCAAACAAACGGCAAAGCAAGCCCTCAAGTCCCGACATGTGGGTAACTGAGGGACTGCCTTCGGCAGGGACATGAAAGCAACAACTCCTCACCAACTTCAGAGATTACGACAGGACAACATCAAAGGGCAAGCACAAATTACTCCTTTTCCCTCAAGTACCTTTCGGCAAAAGGAGTGAGGGACTCCTGATGGAGTATATGGCCCGGGAACCCCGGCCCACAGACTCCTACTACTCCAGTAAAGTCCCAACGGGCCCAGAAGGCCCAACAGGCCCAAATCATGGCGCCCGGAGTACCAAGCAGCCCACAGCGCACCAGGGGTGCCTTCGACCCCCTGGCCGAAGGCTCTAAACTCTCACAGAACGGGTTTTCTCAAGCAAACTAAGAAACTGGGAGAAAAAGGCGAGAACAGTAGCCCTCGGCACCAGGAGCCCTCGGCACCAGGGTCCCCTCGGTTTGAGGAGCCCTCGGCTACTGCTCTATAGCCGAAGGCACCTCACTCGACAAGATCTCCTCTTCACGCGCGTACAGATCACCGTACCATGTACAACGTCCCATCCAACAGCCGCATTAAATGCGGCCACATGCGGTTGCCAGCGCCAACCGGATGAGGTGACCTCTCGGCCAATGGGTGCTTGACACGTGTCCCTGTCCGGCATTTATTGCTACTATAAATAGCCCCCCCCCCCCCCTTCCCCGTTGTAAACCACGACATTCATACTGAATACACTCTCTCTCTTGCTTACTTATGCTCTGACTTCTTGAATATTAAAAGAAGAGTTGGAAGGATAAAACAGACCTTTACCTGGAGAGCTTTTAAGATACCTAAGTACTCTATGAGTTGCAGCCATATGAATATTAGTAGGAGAAGATAAAAATTGACTCAATGTTTGAACAGAGTAAGCAATATCAGACCTAGTGACAGTAAGGTATAATAATCTACCAATTAGAGTTCTATAGGTTTTAGGATCATTTAAAACAGTACCATTGTGTTTTGAAAGTTTAAGTTTAGAATCCATAGGAGTGGAAAATGGTTTTGAAGAAAGATAACCAAAATCAGAGAGTATGTCAAGAGTATATTTTCTTTGGTTTAGAATAATACCAGTTTTTGATCTAGCAATTTCTATTCCTAAAATGTATTTTAATTTTCCAAGATCTTTAATAGTAAATTTTTGATGTAAGAAGGATTTAATAGCATTAATTTCATTCATATCATTTCCTGCAAGAATTAGATCATCAACATAAAGTAATATGACAGTAAAAGAGATATTATTTACTTTAGTGAAAAGAGAAAAATCTGCTTGAGACTGTGTATATCCAGAAATTTTCAAAGCTTCAGAAAGTTTAAAATACCATTGTCTAGAGGCTTGTTTTAAACCATATATACTTTTAAGTAATTTACAAACTCTATTATCATTGTTAGGCAAATAACCAGGAGGAGGTTCCATGTAAATATTTTCATTTAAGTCACCATGTAAGAATGCATTATTTACATCTAATTGATGTAAATGCCAATTTTTAGAACTGGCAATGGCAAGAAGAATTCTAACAGTGGTTAACTTTACAACAGGTGAAAAAGTATCAAAATAATCAAGTCCTTCTTCTTGAGTATAGCCTTTAGCAACAAGTCTAGCTTTATATTTGTCAAGAGATCCATCAGCTTTTAATTTTGTTTTGAAAATCCATTTACAACCAATAGTATGTTGATTAGAAGGAAGATCAACAAGAGTCCAGGTATTATTATGTTCAAGAGCTTTAATTTCATCATTCATAGCATTTTTCCATTCTGGAAATTTAATAGCTTGTTTGTAAGTTTTAGGTTCAGAAGTTTTAGAAAGAGAAGCAATAAAACAGTGATGAGAAGAATGTAAATTGTTATATGAGATGTAGTTCTGAATAGGATATCTAATCATATTACAAGAAGGTTCAGAATTATTAGGAAGAAGAGAATTGGGTAATTTGTAATCAAAGTTTCTTAAATGAATAGGGATAGATCTTACTCTTGTAGATTTTCATTGAGTACTTTCTTCAGGAACATTTTCATGATTCTGAAAGGTATCTGTATGCAACATACTAGAAGAATCATTAGCATTAGAACTAATATTATCAAACTGAAACAAATTCAATTCTTCATTTATTTGATTGTCCAAATAATTTGTGATAGTGGAAGAAATATGTGTATTATTATTTTCATTAACAGTTTGAGGAGCAACATTAGAAATATTGTTTAAGTAATCATTAATAGTATGGTCATTATTTGTTTCAATAGAATCAGAAATAAAAATGTTGTCATAATGTGTAGTTTTATATGGAAAAGTCATTTCATAGAATTTAACATTTCTAGAAACAAAATTTTTATGAGTGGTTAAATCATATAATTTGTATCCTTTAGAGCCTAGGGGATAACCAATAAAAATGCATTTATGTGCTCTAGAATCAAATTTTGATCTATTAGAAGAAATAGTTGAAGCAAAAGCTAAACAACCAAAGACTTTTAAATGAGTATAATCTGGAACATGATTATAAAGCATTTCAAATGGAGATTTATTATTTAGAATAATAGTTGGCAGTCTATTTATTATATGCACAGCAGTAAGAATGCAATCAGACCAAAAAGTAAGAGGTAAACATGATTGAAATAAAAGAGCTCTAGCAATTTGTAAAATATGTTGATGTTTTCTTTCAACCCTACCATTTTGTTGAGGTGTTTCAACACAAGATAGTTGATGAAGAATTCCTTTTGA